CTGATCCCTTCGGAACTGCCCCCCCCCCCTGCCCCCAAATCCAAGCCTGAGCCTCCCTCCTCCAGGAATCCCCCAACCCGGTCCTCAAGTCAGTCCCCCCCAGCCAGCCCAGTTCCACATCCCTTACCCCAGACAGTTCTCCAACCCCTCCTTTCCGGTTAAGCAATTCTGTTCTGTCCTCAATCCACGGATCCTGACCCCTGTCCTCCATCTGCCCCATCACTGCCCAGACCCGGGCTGGAATGCGCCCAGAGCCTGCTCAGACCTGTCCTGGCCCCACCTGTCCTTTTCCTTCCTACTCACACTATCCTCAGTCGGGCCCCCTTCCCACAAAGGCGCTCTAAGCCTCGTTCTTCAGACCCAGAAGCTTGGGCTCCCAGCCTCCTCCCCTGGGACCTACGAGTCCAGGCTTCTGCGCACCTACCTCTCCACTATGTCTCAGACTAAATAGCAGGTAGACTGTGGGGAGGTTGGGAATGACGGACATGCAGAGGGGCAGGGGTGGTTTTCTATTTCCCACCCCCACCCCAGCCAGTTTCTTGGGCTCTCAGCCCTTTGCAGCCAAGGCACTAGGTAAAGGTTAGACTTTAGATAAGGACCAAGGAGCCGCCGCCTACTGGAAGAAGTTCGTTTTTCTCCCCACCCTCCCTTCACTGACCCTGAGGCTATCTCTCCTCTAATGGGCTCTTGGGAGACCGGAGGATCTGATCAGCCGCCCCCTGGCCTCCAGGGGTCCTGGACCTCCAGCTGTCCAATTGCAAACCTTCAAATACTGAGACGCTGTGACCCCTCTTCCTTCCTTTTGCAGAGAGAGCCCTGAGCATTTACCTCCCCTGGGCCCTAGGAGTCCGGCCCCCCAGCCCCCTCCTCCCTCACACCCAGGAGTCTGGGACTTCCGCCTCCTCCTCAGACCCAGAAGCACAGACCCCCTCACCCCTCCTCCCTCAGACTTCGGGCTCCAGACCCTCAGCGGCTCCTCTCTCAGACCCAGGGGTCCAGGTCTCCTAGCCCCTCCTCCTTCAGGCCCCAGCCTCTCCCCGCAGCCCCTCCTCCCTCAGCCCCCAGCCTCCCAGGACCCAGGATAAGAGTTCCACTCACCGGGCACCCTCCAAACCATAGCATCTCCGCGTGCAGCACCATGAGTCCGATGCCAGTTCCCGCCAGTGCCAGTGCCCAGCCAGCCAGCCACTTCTCCTGCTCCAGCAGCCGCTTTCGCCGCTGTAGGGCCCCCAGGCCTGGCACCAGCTCCCCGCCCATGGCCCCTGCGGTCTTGGGGCTCAGCCAGCTTCCTGCCCAGGGTCCCCCACCTCGCAGCACACAAAGGGCAGCCACTGTGGCTTGCAGGTCCTCAGCCTGCTCTGCTCCTCGCTCTGGGGCTCTCGCTTTGAGGCACGGAGGGAGTCTGTGCCCTCTGGGGGTGGTGACGGTTGGGCAGGGCGGGGAGGGGCTGGCGTGGCCCTTGGGCAGAGGGGAGGCTCCCCAACCTCCCTTCTTGGTCTAAGGAGGGACTGGGGTGTGTCTCGGGGCAGAGCAAGGAAGAGGCGTGCATCCACGTGGATAAAGACACATGCTTCTGGGACACAATAGGTTTTGTCACACACAACAGTCTGCGCCCTGTAATGCACACCTTCACTCAGCCACACCCAGACACCACAAGACGCGGGGTGATGAACCTTCACACACGGCATGGCCGGAGACGGAACCTAACACACACGGGCACACAACACAACCTACACCGAGTGACTCACAACTCCCGATGAGCTCTGAAACCCACAGCCACACCCAGACACCACACATGCGGTGTGACCCACGCCGGCACTCAGCGAGGCAGGCACTGCCCCGGGTCGCACGTGACCACCCAAATATTGTCCACACACAGGCACAAACATGACAAATCAAAACGGACACAACATTCTCCGACGCAAATAGCCACACCCAGACCCCCGCACACGGTGCACGGCCACAGCTACATTAGCATAACACATACCAGTTTTCCCACAGACACACAATATGTATTGACTCAGTGACAGCCAGATGCCACACTCAACACATCTATGTAAACAATGCGCTAGTAAGTGTCCCAAACATTCTACACCCGTGGAATGACACCCGACGTGTGCAGACGCACCACGTTTAGGGACACACCTGTGGCCGTCCCCCAGCGCCAGCACAGAGAGAAATGCACACTGATCCACATCATAGCACCTGGCGACCCGGGCGCACAGGCTCAGAATGACTTGCAGCACAGACAGACTGTGCCACACAGTATACCCCGGGGCACAATGCCATCCAGATGCGTAGTTAGAACAACATAAATGGACCCACGGAGAGACCTATAGAAAAAGCCCCAAACAGCACATGCCCAGAGTAAGACATCCTGCTCTATTTTGGCGCATCACAGAGGACAGAACCCAGAGCGGTGCCCCACGGGGGAGGGAGCCCCACGCAGCTGGGGCACAGTCTACCCGGACCACGATGCCTAAATGCAACACGCACAGAGTAGGGCACGCAGTATCTCCTCTGACTGACAAGCCACATCCGAACTACACCCCCACACGGCCCGGTGCACGATGCACTCCAACACGCATGGCCACACCAACACACAAACACAACATACACAGAGTCCTACACGGACACAGAATGACACAAAGCACACCGACACGGTATTTCCCGGCACCATCTTTCACAAAACACCGTGCGTCGCAATAAAACAGCAGATGTGATCCACTGGCCCGGCCGACACCCAGGCCCGCAACGACAGCACGCACAACACCGGGGCGACGCCCTCCAGTGCAACAGAATACACAGCCACACAAACAGCACGCTCTGCGTGCGAGCACCCAGGCTGTGTTCATGGTGGGGAAAGGAGAGGCCCCCGCGATGGACACGCCTAGACATGACACACAGGGTCGCATCTCTGAATGACAGCTCACCACGACACACGCAAGCCCCATGATGAGATGCAACGCACAGCGACGTTACAGAACGGCCCATGCGTGCAGAGTGACGCACGGTGACTCCTAGCGTGACCCACAATGCAGAACGCCACCACACGCAGCAGCACAGAGATAACACACAGACCTGGACGTGTGCATCTGGACACAGACGGGACCGTCCTCCGGCCACATGCGAGGAGACACTGGCACGCTACCATGAGACACACACCTTGCACACGCTGACCTCCGGGACACAGCCCGCACCTGCAGGGATCTCGCAGACGGAACCCCTCTCCCTCCCATGTCATATGTCACGAAGAGACACGGCCCCACCAGCCACAGGGAATCGAGACACTCATGCACAAACACGTCCGGCGACACACCCAGCAACGCCAAACGGCACACACGGACACAGCGGGTGGCAACAGCACAGCTCATGCAGGTGACATGCCTGCTCCAGGGCACACTTGTGATTCCCCCCTCGGGGTGCAACACGGCAGGAGAGTGATGGGCACACCCGGGCACACCCACACACCACGCATGCCTGCGCGGGGAGAAAACACTGCCCCTGGGCACTCCTGAGGCTGCAGCCTGGGCGCCCCCCCCTCCCCCGCTAGTCGCCACCCTTGTGGCCCGGCCCGGGGCTCTCTGCACCTCTTGTCCTCCCTCTCTGGTTCCTAGGCCTCACCTCGGGCCCCTCCCTCAGCCTCCCCTGCTCTGGGAGCCTCCAGGTCCTGCCTTGCCTTGGTCTCTGCCTTTCCCTGTCTCTGTTGTTCTCTCCTCTATGCCTTCACCTCTATGTCTTGTGGCTCTGTCTCAAGTCTAAGTGTCTCTGACTCTCTGTTCATTTGTCTGTTTCCATTTCTCTCTCTCTGGCTCTGTCTCTCGGCCCCTTCGTGCCCCTCGGGTGTTGCTTTCATTCTGTCTCCTGTCACTGTCTCTCTGTCTCCATCTCTGTCTGTGCTCTCTCTCCATGTCCCTGTCTCTTGCCGACCCTAGGTCTCTCTGTCTCTGTCTGTGACTCAGTTTCTCTGTCTCACTGTCTCCCTGCCTCCAGACCTCCCTTTGGCTTTCTCTCTGTCCCTCTGTCTCTGGCCCTGCCTCTCTCTCTGGGCCTCTCCATGCTTGTCTCTGCCTCGGTTGGTCTCCTCTATCCACCAGCACAGCTGGGGGACAGCCTTGCCCTTTCTACTTCCACCCAGGCCCACTCAGGGCCAAGAGGCCAGAGGCAGAGGCCGCGGCTGCCCGGGTCAGAGGCCATGGAAACGAGACCTCCAGCCCCGGCCCCTGCACAGCCGTGCCTCAGTGCAGACCTTAGTGAAAACTAATGGGGTAGGGGGAACAATCCGAGAGAGGGAGACAGATGGAGAGGGCAGAATTTGAAAAAAAATCAAAGAGATGGAGAGAGGAGATGTGGCGGTGAGGGGAAAGCAGAAGCTGGGATCAAGACGTGGAAGTTAGAGCAGACAGAAGTTTTGTCTCCAAAGAGACCAACTCAGACAGAAAAACGGAGCAAAGGCTGGCCTCGGGAGAGGCCAGGGTGGGCAACAATGAGGTCACAGTGGGAAAGGCACTTGCCTCCGAACGGAAGTTCTGGGATGTGGGGGTCAGTCGGTAGGACACACGGCTCCAGAGCCAGCTCCCTCCAGCCCAGGGAGGGGCTGAGCCGGGGGGTGGGGGTGACTCAGGGCCCCAGAGCTTCCTGTGACTCAGCCCTTGGTCCCAACCCTGAAGGGGGGAGTGGAGAGGGAGAGGGGTCTCTGTAAAAGAGAGGGAGGAGGAATACCAGAGGACCTCCCTGCCTAGGTTGCCCACCTCAGAGGAGGGGGTGGGGCTGCTGATTGGGACTTTGAGGGGAGGAGAGGTCTGGGGGCCTGGACTCCTGGGTCTGAGGGAGGAGGGGCTGGGGG